CTTTTAAACTCTTTACGATGGCCAATCTACTCATCAACTCAGTTGATCATACTAAATTACCCTGTTATACTCTCCTACCGACGCAGCATCACAGTTTCTTTAGAAACTTACCCCCTTTGTATATTTTAAATCTTACTTAGCCACGAATGTGAAGTTACGCATGTCATGATGTCTTCGAAAGCTTAGAGCGAGGACAATCGAACCATGAACACCTAGACTTTTTTATTTTGCCTTTTTGTCATCATCCAATCACAAGCTCACTTCATGTCGGGGCGCACTCATTTTATATATGTTGAATCAGGTAAGAGTAAGGCATTGTTCACACTTGGTGCCCGGGCACCGTTCCCGGGTTCTATTCTACGCCGGGCACCAATGTGAACACACCTTTTTTCCTGGTACCCACGCCAGAATTCGGGCACGGTGCCGGTGCCCGAGTACAAGGTCTCGACCTTGTACTCGGGCACTAAACTGGGCACTGAGTCCTTATGTGAACACATTTTTCGTTGGTGCCCTGGCTCTTTACCCACAAACCACTTGTTTTCGTACCCACAATTCCTTGTCCCACTCGAGATTTCAATAGTGAGCGTGTGCTCTGTTTATTGAATGTGAACATATCTTCAGACTGGGTACCGTGTGTCTGAACACAGCATCATTTTGTGCCGGTGCCCGGGTACTAGTGCCCGGGCACCAAGTGTGAACACTGCCTAATTAATGGCTGACAAAAGCGAATTTTTCTGTTGGCTAAAATCCTTCTTCCCGGGAATGAAATTGGAAAGACTTTCGCTACAATTTGAAACAAAGGGTTTCCGTTGGCGAAGGTCTCTTGCGTCAGTTAAAACGGAGGATTTGGACTCCTTCTTCCCGTTCCCTGACAAGCTGCTAATAGGGACCTTAAGCACCGAGAACTTTCATAGCGACGGCGACGTCGGTGGACGAAAGAGACTGAGGTGAGGACGGCGTTTTTCCCGCCAAAAAAAGCAAACCACAATGGCGACGGCAACGAGGATACGAAAAAAAAAGGATCTAATTGGCAGAACAAAAGCTCAGCACGTGCGTTTCATAACTTTGTACATTTCTTAGCCGTCCCGTGCAAAACAGCAACGTGAAATCATCACAACTTGCGTCGTCTACTAACAGAAACCGCGACGGCAAATTATTTTAGTTTCCATTAGGAACTCAACACTTCCTTCCTACGTGATGCTGAAGTTGAGGTGTGGCGCCGTATGAGACAGTAACTACAGGCAGCCATTTTCGAAATTCTAATTAAAGGCAGAAATTCATTTTTTAATCGACATCTTCCATGGCGTTGCCGTCCTGACTGCTTAAGGTCCCTGATATAAACCTTTAGCACCCTTCATTTTCCGACAGCAACTTGACGTCAACGGAATCGCGCGCTAAATTTGAAAACGAAAACAAGATGGCCGTCGCGGATAGAGCAGCTGTTGTTTCGTTAATAGAGGAACTTTCCGATAAGGGGTCTGTCAAAACATCAAAGTAATCCACTCCAGTGGCGGAATGAAGCAAGTTCAGCGTTGGAGGCGTAGTGCTGAATTTCAATCGCAGGTTCACCAATATAGGAATTACCGTACACTCGATTTCCTGATGTTACAATAACACTACATTAATCCAAAAAATATGTCCAATTTGTTCGAGAAAATAATCGGTATAGTCCGTATTTGCTTGTGACAATGACTCTTTGGGTACTTGGGAAATCTTTTTCCGTGTCATTCTACAGTCTTCCCGAATGCACTTTTTTATTCCTGACTGAGATGGCAAATGACCAGGGGGAGAAATTCCATGTAGTAAGAGACGCTGTTGAAGCTCACTTGTATACACAGTAGGTTTTCTTAATTTCTTGGTTCCAAATATTCAACAATAGTGGCTGACAACTTATTCCGAACCGGTGTTTTCAGCGACGGAGCCAAGGAGGAGTTAGTGTCTTTCGTAGAATTGAACAACTTTATTTACATACCCCACGCTAAGTCGCATGTTTTGTGTAATTTGCCTTTGCGATAAGCCTCGATGATGCGAGTCAAGTACTCTTTCCCGGTAGCCTTGTGGCAGAGCCTTACCATTATCGTATATTCCTTGCTGTCGACTGACACTTAGTTTGCATTAACCTTTGCGAAAATGAAATAAAAAACTCTGCGCACCATCAGAAACCCAAAAAACTGCTCGAAGTCAGTGAGCCAAATTGAACTTACCAGCCTAATTTATGGGCACAAAGGCCATTCCAAGCTAAAAAAATGTTCAGCCGAATCACCCGAGGCGTTGGGTTTGAAAAAAATTAAAATTATATTTTCCCGTCAATGATGTGATTAGACAGCGCTACAAAAATTGCGAATTCTTTTGTCTATTTTAAGAGCTCTCATCGGATAATCATCAAAAAGAGGCAGAAAGAAGAATCCTCACTGTAAGACTCTCCAAGTTGTTTGCAATCCTCGTTTCCTTGTAAATCATTATTACCCCTTTATTTGGTTGACTAAGGAAAGAGAGTGTAGAGTAGTGAGGAGAGTGAAGTTATGCGATATCTCAACACAGCTGAAAATGACTCACAACCACAACCTACTAATGATAAAAACGAAACTTTCGTGCGACAACTTTATCTCAAGACTTTATTTCAAAATGAATCAATAAATAATCACGTGTATAGTGAAGACATATGTAAGTCAATCACTGTTATTTAACCGCCTCACTCAGGAACAGACTTGTTTATCTTTGTCCTCAATCAGTCCCCGATCTTCAGATCATAATACAACAAAAATTAAATATGCAGACGTCAAGGTCATATTGACGAAACATTATCAAAAAAAGGTTCCGCTTCTAGGTGTCACAGCTAAAGGGGTTTAAGCCTTATTCTTTAGCCTCAAATGAAAAATTACCCTGCCAAAAATGTAACCCAGGATCTACTAAAATGCACCTGCATAAACGAAAAATGGGCACGTCTACCATTGGACCGACATTCCCATCTCTCGGTTGAATTCATTCAACCTCACCCCACCCCCTTTCCCCCACAGAAAGAGGAAATAAATTCTGAAAATCAAAATATTCTGTTACTTTCTTTCCTCTGACATTAGAATTCTTGATTGTTCTTTGAATCGAAACGTGTTATTACGTCATAGATTCGACTTAAACTGTGGTATAAATGTTGGCTTCCTTCTAAATCTACGTTTGCAGTGAAGGGGGATGCGATGGAAACAAACATTCACGTATGTTGGAAATGAAAACTTACCAAATTTGACTGCTACCATCCCTCCAGAGAGAAGGACTAACGCTCGAAACGTCCACCAAACCCACCCCACCGACGCAGCACCGCAGTTTCTTCTTCGCGCGATAGCTTACTTCATAGCTCAACTCAGTTCCTCTTCTTTCTAAAACTGAATAAGTCAAACAGACCAAATCCTCTACGACGAAACATGACTTTTGCTCGTAGAGGAAGCCAACACTTAAATGGAGGACTTATTTTTTTAGCGTATGCACGGAAGAAATAGGGTTTCCTGTGATTCTGATTTACGACAAATTTTGTTTCAGGAGCTTTCGGAAAAAAAAAGTTCGTTTACAAGGTTGAGCGAATTTCGGGTGGCAGCATCAATAAAAAAATGAATATTTTTGTGCGGTCGCAGAATCTTCAGTAACCCTCAATTTTCGATCATTTATTCGGTAGCTATGGTAACGGTATAGCCTTCTACATATACCTTAAATCAGTGCCATTTTAATTTCAGCTCTTTTCATTATTTGGACTGAGCCTGCTTTTACTCTCCTACTAGTCGTTAGGCGTAACGGCCCATGGAAGTGAGAAAAACACTGTCTTGTTAACTGGTTCAATCTACGAGTTCGACTTATGGTTTTTCTTGGTGTTGCGTAAACTAGTGCTGGAGAGAAGTTTCGTTTTTGAATAATCATTATTCACTGACCTTCAATCTGTTGCACGTATTAAGCCATTTCATTATTGCTTTATCCAGAAAACCAAAAGGCAATTAATCTTTTATATTTCTGTGATAATTTGCTTTTCATTTAGCCCAATTAATAACGTTTGCGTAGTCTCGCGTTTGCTTTGCATTCACATTGAAAAAAAAACATTGATTTTCGGAATGTTTATTTTATTTGAACAATTCGCCGGTCTTTCAGAGTAGATAAGTAATTTAATTTTGTAAAGTCATCAATTTCTTGATATGATATCATTAGTTTGGTAAATTCGTAAAGAAAATATGAAAATAGAATTGTGAAACAGCTAGGAATTTGACTCAAAAATGTATTTCATAGATGCAGGTGGGTAAAATATGTCTGTATTCGAGTCACGTGGCCAACCAAGCTATAGTTTAACTCGGTTCCCTTAGCATGATGGGATGCTAGTACGCGAGATTACCCCCCAGTATTTCATCAGTCTTTCCTAATAATTATTCGGTACCCTTTTATACTCCTGGGTTGATAGAGGTACTGTGAGAATGAAGTGTTTTGCTCAGGAACACAACACAATACCCGGTCAGGTCTCGAACCCAGGCCTCTCGAAACAAAATCCAGCGCACTGCCTATTGGGCCATCGCGTCCGTAGGTAGATAAAAAATATGGTCGGTTTAAGTTAAAATGCCATATCGGCGCGGCCCATTATTCATTTTCAACCAATTTATCGCTTGGGTTGATTAAGAAATGGTTGTTAATAACAAAGAGAATCAACCACAGACTTTGAGTTGATCATTTGTTTATTTTCCAGATAACGAGGCTTAAAATTCGGCAATAAGCACAGCGAAAAAACCCCTTACATTAGCAACCCAGCTCATTCCTTCACCCAACCCAAATCATGCAAGCAAAATGATACTACTGCCTCAAATCTTTTCCATCTGATCCGGAAGAAGACAGGTCAGAAGGTTTTATTTTGATTCTGCAATAAGAAAAAAACACCACCGTGATTAACCAAAGGCAAATATTTGTACCATAGTTGAACTGCATTTTCGAAGTTTCACCTCTGTTTAAGTCAATTTTTCTTGAAATTGGAAATTCCTCCTACCGCTGCCATCGTTTTCCTTTTGAACACCTTTTCATCTCATTAGAGACCTCTCAATTTAAATACGAAAAGGGGGGAGATCCTCCTAATCCATTCTCATTGATCTTTTTCCCCATTACGAAAGCCATTTTAAAAAACCATTTGAGCCACATTTATGAATTTAAGAAGACAGCCGTTATTACGGACAGGGTGACAAATCGCACTTTTTGTCAAGAGAGATAAACCTCTGTGATTTCATTTTTTTTTATTGTTTTGTTTGTTTTTTTCTTTTAAGAGAAAAATGCTCATCACCGCATGTAAATAACTAAGAGAATTAAATGAGACACAAAACACACATTTTTAAAACGTTTTAAAGTTTCCGCTAATCTATTTGATTTTTTAAACGATTACTTGTGCACATGCTTACCTAACAGAAGCGGCAAGTTTTGGGGCAATTACGCTTCATGTAATTTTTGTTTTTCGTGCATTCACTGTTTGCTGCCTTAGATTTACAACCTTTGACTTTATCCTTACAAACTGAAAGGAAAAAAGTAAAGCAGTGTAAATGTAAGTGCATCGCGTAATCTTATCAGATTTCATCAACATTTCTGTTGGAATCGTATTCCCCTGAATCAGGATCTCTTCATGCCTGGTCACCTGTGCTGCCGGACCTTTTCTTTTTTCCTGATTTCGCCTCTCTACTGGTTCCTTGTGAATTTATTCCTATGTAATTCGTTTCAGTGAGTGAAAGAGCTGTAATTATACAAGGGCCTATACAGAGGGTCGCAATTAAATTCAGCGAGAACTCACCCATTGTGG